TCCATTCTTAGATAATTAGTCGTAAAATCAAAGGTGATTAGTTGAACAAATCACAGAGAGGTAATTTTTCAAACCTCAGCCAAGTACTTGTAAAATTGAGGTATTCATAATTGATATCTACTAAATAATCATAGATCTTGGCAATAGGTTCCCTTTGGGCCCTGTTAAGCTTTAATTGTTTTAGAGAACTATGCTGCTCTGTTTGTACTTGTGCTATCATTTTTTGATGTTATCTCCCCTGTGGCTTTTACCCAGTTCATTGCATTGCCTTGCTCTTGTATCACTTGTAATTAATAACAGTCCAAATAATTTGCATGCAGTATTTAGTTCAGGGCAGTTTTCTTTGCAGTAATTCATACATGATGCTTTCAAGTTCCCTTTTTAATTTTCATTGTGGTGTGTACTGGTAAAAACCCCAGACAATATTTGCATGTAAAGCCCAGGGTGAGTACATGTACAAACAACATTCAAGTGTTTGTAAAAATCACAAACAAGTACTTGGAAAATTCACACAGAAATATTTTTAGAAACCCGCAGATAAGTGCTTGTAGAAGCCACTTGTGAATACTTTGAAAACCGTCTGATCTATGACTCACTTTATCCTTCATGAATATTTAACGGATAACAATGTGAGATATATGATATCTTTGCTTTATTGTCTTTCCGTCCTACACTACATTAATTACAAGGGGCCTGCTGGCTGGGACTCACGGATAACAATGTGAGATATATGATATCTTTGCTTTATTGTCTTTCCGTCCTACACTACATTAATTACAAGGGGCCTGCTGGCTGGGACTCTATTTGAGACAGCAGTGTTTCTCTATTTATGCTTGGGATGTCAGATGCTTGGTGATCTCCCCCTTGAATTTGATTCTCTTGATTGTCTTGTTTTGATTTTTGTTTCACTTGTAATCAATGAGTCTCAAACTGAAGATTGGTCTGTTTACTGAGTGTCAAGATAGTTTGAATAATTTGCATACAATATATAAGTCAGCTCTGTTTTCTTTGCAGTAATTTAGGAGAAAGAATAAATATGACCAACTTAGCAAATATCTGATCAATCAATCATTCAAATAATTTGCATATCACATTTACTTCAGGTCTGTTCTCTTTGTAGTTATTTATGCCGTATCCCTTCAATTTCCCTCTAAGAAACAGAAGAACAAAAAACATCATATCATCACAGAATAAGTATGATTGAACGAGGATTGTTGTTCTGATTTTTTTATTAATGAGTTCATTGATCTCCTCAATCAATTGTCTTGCATTGTAGTGTCTTTCCCAGTATGTCTTCATTTCTTATCTTTCATTAGTATTTATTATTTTAATTCTTGCAATCTGTCATCCTCTTCTTCAAGAAATATGGTGCTGCCTTCCACCCTTATCCATAAGTAAAATGTATCAATTATTCCAACCCTGCGTCTGTTTCTCCAAACACCCTACCAATATTGTTGGTAGACATTTACTTGTCCAACTAAAGGTGATTAGTTCTCTATTCATACTTCTTTTACTGTCCAATTCTGTTGTTATCTCCCCCGTGACTTTCACTGTGTGTGTTTCATTGTCATCCTTTTGTACCACTTGTAATGAATAAGACAATTCAAGTAATTTGCATAAAATGTTTACTTCAGGGCTGTTTTCTTTGCAGTAATTCATACATAATGTTTCACTTGTAATCAATGAGTCTCAAACTGAAGATTGGTTTGTTTACTGAATGTCAAGATATTTTGAATAATTTCTGTACGATATATACTTCAGCTCTATATATACTTCAGCTCTGTTTTCTTTGCAGTAGGGTTAGAAGAAAGAATAAGTATGACCAACTTAGCAAATATCTGATCAATCAATCATTCAAATAATTTGCATATGGTATTTACTTCAGTGCTGTTATCTTTGTAGTTATTTATGCCGGATCCCTTCAATTTCCCTCTAAGAAACAGAAGAAACAAAATATCATATCATCACAGAATAAGTATGATTGAACAAGGACATAGCAGAGAACGAATCTTTGGATCTTCTTGATTGATAGGCTCCCTTTCTTGTCCCTTACTAGCATTTATCATTGAAGCCCGTTTCTGCTTTATGTATGTAAATAATTTTCCTAGTGTTTCATCAGACGTATGGGCCCCCAATGATGTCTACCTGTCTACCTGGTATAGGGGAGAGGTAGACCAGGTAGACCATTGGTCATTGGGCCTTTGCCTGATTTTTTGAGAATGATTTCCTGAGGTAGACTTCGATCCAGCCCAGGTAAAAAAATAATCCAAAAAAAGTGGCTGGTTGATGTATCTAGACTGTGCAATTGTGATTTTGCATGATGTGTTGATGGATTTGGACTACTTAATTTTAAATTTCCATGATATGAACTGCAACCAGGTAGAAAATTAAGCTGTACCCATACAGAAATATTAATTCTCCATGATATGACAAGCAACCAATTAAAAGTTTAAGCCATAAAAATCACAAATGAGTCAGTAAGATGAAGTAGGTAGTGGACTTAGATTCTACCTGGATAACTGATTCCTCCAGGTTGAAATTGATTTGTGAGATAGGGGCTAGTAAGAGCATATAATTTGTAGGGTATCTGCCTATCTTGATAAGGAAAAGGAAAAATAAAGCAATGTGTTCAAAGGATGCCCCAAAAAAGCTATTGACCTAGTGGTAGAGGTGAAAGTAATCAAGAGGGAGGTTCTGGTGAGGTTTTGGGTGGGTTGTATGTGCTCCAGAAGGTGCACTCTCTCAATTCACCAAACAATTTATTTTCCCAGATGTTCTTGGAACAAGAACAGGTGTGTCCTCACCTGCCTTCTTCCACTGAGACTATTCTTTCTTACCAATTATTTATTCTTGTGAGTTTCTCTCCTCAGTTAATTATCTCTCTTTGTTGTCCTTTTCTCTGATGGTCTTTCTTCCTTTTTCTAAGCTCTACCAATACAAAGATATTAATTATCCATGATATGACAAGCAACCAATTAAAAGTTTAAGCCATAACAATTACAAATGAGCAAGTAAGATGAATTAGGAAGTGGAATTAGATTCTACCTTGATAAGTGACACCTCTAGGTTGAAATATATTTGCAAGAAAGTGGCTAGTAAGAGCATATAATTTGTAGAGTATCTTTCTATCTTGAAAAGTAAAAGAGAAAAATAAAGCAATGTGTTCAAAGGAGGCGCCAAAAAAGCTGTTGACCTAGTGGCGAATCACTTTGAAAAGGAGGTCAGAGTGTCTATTTGGGCTCACTGGATGAGCAGGCACCAATCGCAAAACAGAATTGGTGGGAAAAGAGGAGGAACTTGTAGATAATTCTTTGTAATAGTTCACAATTCTACCAGTCCATCTGAAATAGCAGAAGAAAGTGCATTGACCTAGAGGTGAAAGTATTTGAGAGAGAGGGTCCAGTAGGTATTTGGTTGAGTTGTATGTGCTCCAGAGGGTGCATTCTCTCAATTCACCAAAGAATTATTTTTCTAGAAGTCCTTGGATCAAGAACCGGTATTGTACGGTGTCAGATTGTTGAGATAAGACCCACCTTCTTCTACTGGGAGTTTTATTTCTTACCAATTATTTATTCTTGTGAGTTTCCTTCCCTTGTTAATTGTCTCTCAGGTGTCTCTTTATCTGGTTGTTTTCTTTCTTTCCCTGTATCAAAATTTGTGAATTTGGTCCTATCCATTTCCTTGATTGGTGAGTATGTTGCAAAAGCACTGTGGAATTGAGTAGGGAAAGTGACAAAAAAAGCCGATTGACTCTTACAGACAGGATTTGACTGGAAGGTCCTAGTAATTTTTGGCTGAGCTGTATGTTCTCCAGAAGGCACACTGTGGCAGTTGAGGAAACATTATGGTTGATAATTTTCCTACAATTTATTGGCAAAAGGGAAGCTGTGTAAGATCAGTGAGTCATGTCATGCCTTCTTCTACATCTCCCTTTCTAATTTTTTTATTGTGAGTTGAACCCCTCAATTAATTGCCTCTCTATCACATCACATTCCATGATTCTCTTTATCCATCATTAATATTCATGATATTAATTCTGTCAATCCCAAATACACAACAAATATAGCCGTCTTTCTTTCAGCTCACTGTCATTGATTTACTGGCTTTCTTATCCAACAGTAAAATCAAACATATTAATATATCCTTGCCAATCCTTGATCTGTGACTTCAAACATGCAATCAACACAGTGTGCCAATATCCATTCCTAGATAATCAGTCATAAAGTCAAAGGTGATTACTTGAACAAATCACGAAGAGGTAATTTTCCAAACCTCAGCCAAGTACTCGGAAAATTGAGCTTATATATAATGATAGATCTTGGCACTAGGTTCCCTTTGGGCCCTGTTGGGCTTTAATTGTTTTAGAGAATTGTGCTGCTCTATTTGTACTTGCGCTATCATTTTTTGATGTTATCTCTCCTGTGGTTTATATACAGTTCATTGCATTGCCTTGCTCTTGAACCCACATGTAGTTAATAACAGTCCAAAGAATTTGCATGCAGTATTTACTTCAGGGCAGTTCTTTTTGCAGGAATTCAAGCATGATGCTTTCAATTTCCCTTTTTCAGAAAGAGCAGAAAGGGCAACTACCTCATCTGTTGCTTGTCAAAGTACGTGAATGTTTCTCCTTGTTGTCTTGGTTGTTGATTGTGTTTCTTTGTGACCTAACAGCAGGAGCGCCTGGTATGAGCCCTCATTCCTCAGACCCCTCAGACCCCTCTCTTGGTGGAGGGTCTGAGGGGTCTGAGGAATGAGCAAGTGAGTCACTTTATTGACTGAAAAAGGGCATAATTTGGCCTGTTGGAAGGCTGAATGACATTGAATGAGCAGGATGATGGATTAATCTTGTATAATATGACAATTCCTACTATGTGAGTGTTACGTGTATTGTAGTGTGTATTTTTAAGTCATGTATAGCTATTCCTACTTGGCGTGTGTTACTTGTAATGTAGTGTGTATTTTATTTTTTACAAGATGGTAGAATATGAGCAGCCGGAGGACTATTGTCCAGGTTGTTCAGCCTGTTCATCTGGGCTGTTTTTGAAAGCAATGTCAAATATTTCTGTATAGCTCTCCTTGAGTTTGTTGTACTCCTCAAGCAACTTATTGTACTCTTCCTCACGCTCCTTGACAGCCCATTCCTTTAAGGACAGCTTAGTTCTGAGTTCCATTATATTCTGGTACAATGTCTCAATCAATGTTGTACCTGTGCAGGAAAGGTGTATATAAAGATGTCAGTGCAGGCAAAGTGTCAGCAGAGTGAGGGTGGAAAAAAGACAGCTCACGTGATTGAAAGCTGCATCTGACTCTATACTCCTGGCATCTCTGGCAATTGCCAGACAAGGGAATGATCTCACAAGTCCCTTCCATATTGTGCTCTCTGCAAAAATCACAGCCGTACTTTAAGGCAGCAGAGGAGGATGGTAATTTAGTGTGATGTACTAATTTCACAGATATCAAGCGAGCCACTTACAACATTAACCATTTTTGATAGTAGTAATTGAAGTTGTTGCTGTTTGTTGGTGATGGTTGGTTTTGATTTTGTTGGAGTGGAGTGGAGTGAGTTGGGTGTGTGTTGGTGTGATTGCTGATGGGGGGAAAAGATCCAGGAAAGGCACTTCTTAAATAGAAGTGCCTTTGACTGAGACAGGCCAAAAAAAAGCCCTTGGGACAGGCCAAGCTCAGTCCCAAGGGCATGTGATAAGGGAGCCCTTGGAGATTGCCTTGGC